CCTGACTGACTATATAGTACATTCATTTACAACCTATGTTGTATCTGTTTGACATATATGTGAGCCAAGGATGTACAACAAACTGATTGTGGTGAGAATAATACTGATTTATTTCATTGTATTTTCCTCAACTGAAAATGCCAAAACTAGATATATAATGGAAAATTAAATTTTAATTTAGTTAAATTGATCAAAAAAAAGTTCATAAAAATTGGCAATAAGTCATGTTAGGATCCAAAACAGGATAATTTTTAATATATGCAAATTAGGCAAACAACTTTCGTGGGAAATGTGTTATGCACACTTCTTATAATGAATTAATTCTTTCAGTAAACTGTAGTAAAAATATAATTTTACTGATATCCAAAAATATAGTTCAGTATTCCTGTAATTAATCTATTAAAAATGTTTTTATACTCTTTTATGAATTTAATTGAATATTAAATTTCATATTTTTGTACAGTTTATGTATACATATATTGTATTATTGAGTATAGTTAAGTTTATTCAGATTCTAAGTCCAATTTTTGTACATTTTATGTATACATAAATAATACTAATATTTGTCAAGATGCCAAATCAATAATTTGTACAATTAATGTATACATAAATTATACTTCATTCTGACATGATTCTAACATAAATTTTTTTGATTACTCTTTATTTCTTAGTCATGATATTGTACATTTTTTGTATATGTAAATTATACAATATTTAGGCATTGAATCCTATGCAAAAAATCTGTACATTTTTAGTATACAACAAATATACATTAATGAATTTGTATAAAGTGTGTATACAAATAATGTACTGCTGTTTTCTTGTATGTATGAATTTTGTATACAAAAAATGTACACAATTTCAAAAAAGTATACTTTTTGTACAGAATATGTATACAATTAATATACTATTGGGGCGGACAATTTGGTAAGGGTGGCTCACTAAATTCGTTGCTGGCTCACTGAATCTGTGGCTGGCTCACTGAATCCGTAGCTGGCTCACTGAATTTATGGCTGGCTCACTGAATCTGTAGCTGGCTTACTGAATCCATGGCTGGCTCACTAAATTCGTGGCTGGCTCACTGAATCTGTGGCTGGCTCACTGAATCTGTAGCTGGCTCACTGAATCTGTAGCTGGCTCACTGAATCCATGGCTGGCTCAGTGAATCCATGGCTGGCTCAGTGAATCCATGGCTGGCTCAGTGAATCCATGGCTGGCTCATTAAATCCATGGATAGCTTACTGAATCCATGGCTGGCCCACTAAATCCGTGACTGGCTCACTGAATTCGTAGCTGGCCCACTGAATCTGAGGCCGGCTCACTGAATCCATGGCTTATTCACAGGGTAGGGGTCAACCTTGATTTGGTGTTCCATCGAGGTAGAATTTGAACTCATCTGAACAATTAACCTCTACACTACAGGTTATAAATGTTATCAATAAGGTTGATTGAAACAGTTTGCAGGTTTAAACTAAAGGTTGATATTATAAATAAGTTTGCATTTACACAAGTTTTCATGAAGGTGTGAATTTGTTTACGTAAATATTTATAAATTGCATTTGACCAATCACAAGCTTAGCGAATGAATACTGCCTCTGCAGTCAGTTTATGATCTTTATTTTTTTCTTTGTCACTATAGCTCGTTTTAGCAATTTAATGTCCTGTGCTAATTGATGACAATACTGCTTGTATTTACATCCTTTAAATTCATTTCAGTGAACCAATTAGTGTAATTTCTAGCATTTAAAACTAACTGGATATGGAATATATCTTTTGAGTTCATGACAGCGTAACTGGTATAATGGCCAATGATTGTAGAACCCCAACAAAGACTCATGGGAAATGATTTCTATAGCAAATCAAAACATTCAATTTTGGATTTGAATTAAGTGTGATGACCTTTTAGGATAAATGTTTCATAAATGTTCATAAAACAAATGCATGCCTTTAGGAAACCCAGTGTAATATGAAATTAATAATGAATTTATTTCTTGTATCTAATAAATTTTCCAACTTGAAGAGATGGAAATGGTTACAAACTCAAAAAGAAAATTTAAAAAAAAGTGAGAAACAAAAATGACCACTCCAAAAAAAAAAGTCTCAAAAATATATTGTTGATTCCCTGGACAAATGTTGATCAAAATTGCCAGACTGATGCAAACTAGTAGCTCCTTACTAGATGTTTGAGTTGGCTCTATTTTTGTGTGTGATCTTGGATCTATTATGCATTCTAAGAAAAAATGAGCTTTGTCTTCCATGTGGTTTTGGTTACAAGCCAAAATTCTGTCATTCAATTTATTTGTGGTCACCCAACTTTTATTTTGAGAATGTGCTCACTCGAAGCTTCATAAGATATGTTTAGGTATTTAGGCGGAAATTTGATATACTTTATATATAAACAGTACTTCAGGGAATAAGCAAATATATTCATAACTGTTTTATTATGAGGGAAAACAGAAATTACCAGCAGTCTCTCAACACTACCAGTGATTATTTAATTTCTTTGATTTGTTTCAAAAATCAGCTACCCTATGCTCAAAACCAACTATGTAATTTATCTTATTCAAATGTATTTACCGGGTAGTTATATTTATTTATTTTACTTAATTTAGATTGTATTTTTTTTTCTTTTTTGGCTTGTTATTTTTGTGTATCTTTTTCATCTCACTTTATTGTACACAATGTACTTGATAGGGATAACTTATCAATAAAGTAATTATTGATATTGTTACACATATTGTCAATTTAAATTATGCTATTAAATTATGTCAAATTATGCTATATATTAGAAGCATGTGTGTTAATGTAAACAGCCTGTTACCATAATTGCACATATATGCACTTCTAATAGAGAAAATATGGTACATGTACAATTTTTGTAATTTGAGGTCTCTCCCAGGATAAAAACTCTGTTTGACCCCACCAGTGGTTTATTTCTGTTTATCATGTGCTTGTTGTACAAGTGTTTCAATGAGTATATTGTATGTCATTTACTAGTAGTTTGGAATTAATTATGCTAATGATATGTAACATTTATGCAAATAAGTATAAGAAAACCACCAAAGTTGTTTAAATTTCCGGGAAGAACATTGCACAAAATTGGAATTTAGTGAAAGTTCTGCACCTTATTGTCTTTCAGTAAAATGTATATTGCTAAAATAGTTTTCATAATATGAGCCTCTCATTTATAGAATAAGTAGTAATTAGGAATGTTTTTGTCTTCAATTTGTTTGGAATCAAAAATATCACAAATTCTTTTATCAACATGGATTTTACAGTGGTGTACTGTTTCAACTTTCAGAGAGTGGCAGCTTGTTAAGCCTTCTTGAAGTGTTGAGCTGTCAATATTTATAAGTAACATTCTACTTTTATGCTAGTTTTGAATTCTCTGTACAGGGTTATTTTTAGCATTTTTTGGTCTGCTCATCATAAAATTCCCCTTGCCATTGTATTTCTTTCATTTATTATAAATATTATTAGTTCTTGATTTTTGTTATAATTAGTTTATAAGTTATAAGATTAGTTTGTTCAACATCTATCAAAATTTGTGTTAGTTTACAAACCAGTTGCTGTTTTCACCACCAGACTTTCTCCGCCAAATTTGTCAGCACTTTTTTTTTTATATTCTTCAATATTTCTGGAAATGAACCTCAATTTTGGAACTACCAGACAAAATTTGAGTCAATTTTCAGTTTTTAATGTGGCTATTTTTGTCTTAATTTCCTGAAGGAAAGTGCAGACTAAAAACGGTACTATTTTGTGAATTTGTCATGAAGAGGGAACGGGTGGTGAAACGGTTAAACGTTTTGTTCACCTGAAATACTTTATTTAGATAATGTTTTTTTTTAATTGACCAGTCAATTCAAAATGTTTGATTGTTGTTTTTGAACATAACAGTTAATATGGGTATCTCCCAAGCTTGCTATGATGGCAATCTTTGAAGTATTTCAAGTGCACATCGTTACTAAGTTATTTACACTCTTAACACTCCAAACATCACTACTATAAACAGGAAATATAAGTTTGTCAAAAAGTTAAATCAAAAGGCTCAGAATTTTAATCCAGCCATATATTTTGTACAAGTGCAAATAATACTTACTGCATCTTTTTCTTCGTCTCTACTCTCTCTGCGACGACAACAGCAGCAGCAGATGATAATAATAATGATGATAATTAAAAGAACTCCAACACCTACACCTACAAATAATAAATACATATTGATCCCCTCACCAGGTGACTCTGTAGTGGCATTAGTTGTAAGCAAAGTTGTCAGAAATATCGCTGTAGTGGTTGGGGCTGACGTTGTGATGCAGCCCTCTGGACCTGCTCCATGGCAACCAAGTTGACAACTCTCATCACAACCAATGCAGTAATTTCTATTATCTTCATACGTGTCTGGTCCACATTCTGCAACACATATCAGCTCTGTTGTGTCTAAATAATTCTTGCACTTGATGCAATTGTCTGCACCTGGTTCATAACACCCAGCACACTCTACATGACATTCAGCTGAACATGTATTGTTTTCCTCATCATGTGTATAGTTAATTGGACATCTCGGAAGACATGGTTGATAAATTAAAGAACCAGGTTCGCCAGGTTGTTCAATGCTATTTTGTTTGATAGGTATTAACCCTGGTGTTGATGTGGTGTTTACGTTATCACAAAGATGCCTACATACTCCGTCGTATACAAAATAAGTGCCGTTACACTCAGCGCATGTATCATTGTTCGAATCGTAAACTCTATCTGTGCATTCTACACAGAAAGGGTCATTAGTTGTGCAGTCTTCACAGCTACATAGCTGTATCTATAAAGAAAATAAAGAAAAATTGGTTATTGTAAAAGCATTTATTTTCAGTTTTGTTATATTCTAAGCTTATTCAATGGGTTCTAAGTTTCGAAATTTGCCAATATATATATATATATATATATATATATATATATATATATATATATATATATATATATATATATATATATATATACGGTGATAGAGGAATTAATACACAACTACATGAATATTGGAACTCGACAGCACTGTTTCGTAAGGTACAAGTACCTCACTCATCAGGAGCTTTATGTTTATCATCACTGCACCAAAGAGCATACATTATAAGCTTCGCAAATTACATATTAATTAAAATTAAATAGAAAGTTTAATTGTTACATATTAGAGCTTTTGATCTGTGTCGGCATGATGACACGAGTTCATTTCTTTTGTTTAATGTGGAGTGGTGGGGTCTAAAAATTATGATGATTTTTTCTTTCAAACATAAAATACATCGTTTGCTGGAGCTATTATACGGGCTACCGCGAGCAAGAATTTTCCATTGTATTTTATATTCAATATCTTTTTCTTTGAGTGACCAGACGTGTTTGCTTAGTTCTGTCTTTCTGGAGGCCTGATTGTGAAATGAGGCCGTGTGGTTTCTGTATCTTGTTTTGAACTCATTACCAGTAAGTCCGACGTACGTTTCACTGGTGTATATATATATATATGGCCTATATGTACCCCCGTATATTTATTTTACATCTGTCATCGTATCGCCATAAGTTACAGCGTGCCGTAGTTTTGTGGTATTGCATAGGGTATTTTCATCCTACCATATTAGGAAACGCGAATTCCTAATATGGAACGATTACGCACATAAGCATCCTCAAATAATAAAAAACAAACATAGCTAGCCCAAGCATTTGACTGGACCACACCCCTGTTCTAAAAGTTTTGGATTTCGGCATTCCCGTGGTGTATTTCTGTGAGGATCTGCATCAGCCGATACTCCCTCTGTACTATCTTCGTGCATACTTTGCAGTATCCTCGTAATAACCTCATAGTATACAGTATAAAATATATAATAGCCACAAAAATAATGTATGTAGTTGTTGTAGTTGTTACCAGTAAAAATTCCAGGAAATTATATTAAATTTTATATATAACATGTGAATGAGTCTGAAATTTGAATAATTCTACATGTACTTTTAATTTATTGAAATAACAATTGAGGGAGCAAGTCAGATGAGTAATGATTGCAGTTACCCTGCAGATTCTGTTTCATTGGATACCATGGACAAGAATAGCACACAGGACAAACAGCTTCGAGGAAGTACCGTAAAATCTGTATTAGAAGCCGCATCCCTAATAGAAGTCGCACCCATTCTTTTTAAACAATTGGGAGCCAAAAAATCATCATTTCTCATATGTGTAGATGCTCTGATAGAAGCCGCACCCCCTCTATTGGATTGTACCATTTTAATAGAAGCCGCGGTTTCTAATACAGATTTTACAGTAGTAGATATTTTCAGGAAGTAAAATTTAAATTAATTATTTTTATAGAAGAATTTGTTTAAAATCATATCATACTATATATTTTATGAAAGATCATAATGCACAGTAATCAAAAATCAACGTTACTTTATTTACCATTCAAAAATCGAAAAATCTAAAATCCAGTCTTGCAACATATGGTTTTGAATCATGCTTTAAGACTCCCGAACACAACTTACTTGCGCAAAACAGGTAATGCTCCATGTTTGCTCAGATGCAGTGACAAAAATTTATCTCAGAAATTTGGAGGAAACCTGAAAGCACTGTGCTGGAAATGTGTGGTTATTACAAGTAACCCCGGTAACTTCATGCTATGCTCTACGGTAGGGGTTGAAATTAAAAAAGTTGTCTGTCTATTGTACTGGCTGGTGATTAAAAGGACCTTTCCCATTTAATGATGCTCCCTGTCCTTAGAAAAATAAATTAGGACATATTTAAAATAACATTTTTAATTTTAATTATTGGCATCATTTCATTGGTCTTAAAAATTCTGTAATCAATTCTTTTTTTAGCAATTTTGGACTACCCCTTTCTTAAGAGGGCTGGAATAATTAGTCTGAAAGAGTAAAAGTTTTTGGCTCCATAAGATGCTGGAAAATCTCAGTCTCAACACAGGGAGTTGGACAAACTTGTGTGTTTTAATAAATTATTAAATAATAAAATGTTATATAATTTTTAAATTTCGCGCGCAGCATTTCTTGTTTATTAATGCATCTCATGAATAAATTAAATGCCCACCCACTTTACGGTTGTGCTCAGTCCTGGCACGTTTCAACCCTTGGGATATTTTACTATAATAGGACGTGTCTACATTGCGCGTTAAAATTTGCATATAACATTAGCGCGTATTAAAGATTGTGATAAAGGAGAGGGTGTTATAAACAAAGATCAGTGATTACTTGAAATCGATACCAGGAAGATGGGGGGTAAAAGAAAAGTTATATAACATTTTATTATTTAATAATTTATTAAAATACATAAGTTTGTCCAACTCCCTATGGTCTCAACTGAATCTATGGTTAATGTTTGGACATCTGACTCAAATATTTTGCATATATATTGTAACTGCTGCATTTGATATATGATGCAAAATGTATACAACATCTTTAATGAATCTCTTATTCAGAATACTGTAAAATACTTTATTTTAGCTGGAATTAATTTTCGCTGAAAAGACATTTTTAGTGCTTTGTATGGAATTTATTTTCACTGATTTTTGACAAGTTGAATGTAAAATATAGGAAAAAAGGTATATTCGCTGGATTTTATTTTCACTGAATCATTTCTTCAGCGAAAATAAATTCCAAGCAAAAATAAAGTATTTTACAGTAGTTTTCTCCAACCAGTTCGACAAGCCTGGCATGTAAGACGGATGTACTTTTTCAGTGCTGACTTTTGAGCAATTTACTATTATTATGGTAAAAAGGTTTCATCACATCTCAAAATGTTGTTCAGTTACATATTAAAAGAATTTCATGTACAGTAGTTATAAGATGAGGTTCACATAATAAGCTCTTATTTTACATTAAAGTAAACTTTGCAATCCTTATGAATTAACAGAAATGAATGTGCACGTTTTCTAAATTTTGAACAATATGGAAAAGAATTCTAATTTTGGAGCCAACAAAATTTGAGTCAATTTTCAGTTTTTACTCAAAAAATTTGGCTATACTTGTCCCAATCTTTTGAAGGAAAATGCACAAACAGGACTATTTTGTGAATTTGTCATGATAAGAGGGAACTGGTGACGAAAAGGTTAAATAATATAAGATTTTATCTTAAAACTCAAATATATTCAAATGTAGTTAGTCTTTATAGTAATGAATCTCGTATCATATACATGTACTGACAATATTTTACAGGATGTTGGGTATTATTTTACTTTGTTTTCCTGGAAATCTCTTTGCTTGCACTTCAATTGAACTACAAGTATTCTGTCACATGACTGTCTAGCTAAATAAAGTAAAGAAGGTTGAATATATATTTTAAGCAACTGTAATGTTCATTTAAGGGATGGAGTCTACACAAATATGTTTTGCATTTTTTCAATTATTCTTATTTATTTATTCTTTTACATAAGATATTTTTAATTTCTTTTTGCAAAAGACCAAATTGATCAGAAAAAAAATAAAACAAACAAGAACTTTTGATTTCAATACAACTGGTAAAAAAAAAAGATTTGATTTTAAGGTCTAGAGGAAAATATTCATCGATTCTGAAAAAACATATAGACCAGAAACTTTTCTACTGGTCTAATCAGATTGGGTTGTTCATTTCCTAGAAAGAACTAGGAATTGTTGTTCATTTCCTAGACAGACTTAGGATGTGTTGAAATTGTCTAGACAGAACTAGGAGTTGTTTACCATTGCCTAGACATAACTAGGAGTTGTTGACCATTGCCTAGAGAACTAGGAGTTGTTGACCATTGTCTAGACATAACTAGGAGTTGTTGACCATTGCCTAGACAGAACTAGCAGTTGTTGACCATTGCCTAGAGAGAACTAGGAGTTGTTGACCATTGCCTAGACAGAACTAGGAGTTATTCATTGCCTAGAGGGAACTAGCAGTTGTTGACCATTGCCTAGAGAACTAGGAGTTGTTGACCACTGCCTAGACAGAACTAAGAGTTGTTGACCATTGCCTAGACAGAAATAGCAGTTGTTGACCATTGCCTAGACAGAACTAAGAGTTGTTGACCATTGCCTAGACAGAACTAGGAGTTATTCATTGCCTAGACAGAACTAAGAGTTGTTGACCATTGCCTAGATAGAACTAAGAGTTGTTGACCATTGCCTAGACAGAACTAGCAGTTGTTGACCATTGCCTAGACAGAACTAAGAGTTGTTGACCATTGCCTAGACAGAACTAGCAGTTGTTGACCATTGCCTAGACAGAACTAAGAGTTATTGACCATTGCCTAGACAGAACTAGGAGTTATTCATTGCCTAGAGAGAACTAGGAGTTGTTGACCATTGCCTAGACAGAACTAGGAGTTATTCATTGCCTAGAGGGAACTAGCAGTTGTTGACCATTGCCTAGA